ACTAATGCCAAATGTTGGAAAATACTATTTTTATCATAATAATGGAAATAAAGGTGTCAGATAACTAAGCCAAAATACTTACCGTCAGAATGAATATCATGGAGCCCTTTTTGATATCGGTCTGAAAAAGGTATACAATACTTCTTGAGTTTTTAATCGCCTAATTGGTTGAGACTGACCGACTTCGCCGGGGCCCGAAATATGGTTGTCTGTTGTAAAAGATTCCAGCACAAGAAAGAATATCAAGCTACTAGTCTGCACCCTGATCGAATAATACAAAACGAGATCGATCATGTTGCGATTGACGGGAGACATTTCTTCAGTGTTCTTGGCGTGTGTAGACCCTAAGGACGCAACATCGACTCGGAATATATTACCTCATTTCAGCGAGATCACGTATGCGCCTCTGTGTATCTAAAAATGTTCGACGTTGAAAAGCTGCAAATCGCAACAACTCGTACGATGGGGATGTCATAATAGAGAGAAAAATAGACTGCCTACCTCGCAACGTTGCAATCGACTACAACACGTGCGGTATGGGATAGATACGGAGAGGTGAAGATGTGAAAAAAGAAAGGGGCGGGTGATGTGTGAGTATGAAAACCGTCGGCTGAAAAAGGTGAAGCTCGAAAATTCTATGACAAGAAATGATGACCGGCGCCCTTTAGTACCCAGGGAGGTGAGCTAGTGACGGATGACCAGAGTATACTGAATTTATGCACGGGAGTTTTCTGCAGCCAGTTGAATTGCGGTGAAAACGGAGAATCCGTTGATGGTGCGCCCGAAACCTCAATCGACGCTCTATTACCTGACCACCAAGAAGTTCGAATTGCAATCATCCGCTTAAAAACAACAAAGCGGAGGGAGATGACGGCCTGTCAGGAGAACTGTGACGGTTAAGAGCTGGCAAGGTGCATGCACCAGCTACTTCCCAGCTTATTGATTGGACTTACAGTGTGGTCTACCCAATCCATAAAGGGGATCACAATCTGTGCTAATTATCGTGGTATGGCCTTCTTAACATCGCATATAAGGTCCTGACGACCGTATTAAGTAAAAGACTGAAGCCCATCGTCAGCAAACTTATTGGACCTTATCAGTGTGGCTTCAGTCCTCGTAAATCAACTGATAACCAAACATGCCATGTATCAAATCTTGGAAAACACCCGTGAAAGAGGATCGAGCACTCACCATATCTTCGGCTTTCGGCATCACGAATAGGAGCTGCCCTTACGCCGCTATGTCTGAATTTGGTTTTCCAGCAAAACTAATACGGCTTTGTTAACTGGCGGTAAGCACTATAGCTCCGACTTTTGCTAGAGAAATAATACCAGCTGCCGAGCTAAACAGAGAAGGTACAAACGACTATAAGTGTGTACAGCTGCTAGCGTACGCCGATGTTATTGACATTACCGGCCTCAACAAGTGAGTTCTGCATTCTGCAGACTGGATAAAGAAGTGAAGCGTAAGGGTCTGGTAGTGAACTAGTCCAATACGAAATATCTCCTGTCATCACACAAACAGTCATCGCATTGGCGACCTGGCACCTACGTCACTGTTAACAGTCATAACATTGAAGTCGTAGATAATTTCGTCTATCTAGGAACCAGCATTAACACTAATAATAATGTCAGCCTTGAAATCCAGCGCAGAATCACTCTTGCCAACAGGTGCTACTTTGGACTGAGTAGGCAATCGAATAGTAAAGTCCTCTCTCGACGAACGAAAACCAAACTCTAAGAGTCCCGTCTTGCTGTATGGTGTGGAAGCATGGTCGATGATAACATCTAATGCGTCGGCGTTAGGACTTTTCGAGAGAATGGTTTTGCCAATGGAAGGATGATTTTTATGAGCTATACGATGATATTCACATAGTTCAGCGAATCAAGAATCTGCGTCTAGGCTGACTACGCTATGTGGCTCGGATGGATACGAATACTCCAGCTTTGAAAGTGTGCGAATGCTTACCCGCCGGTGGAGGCAGAGGAAAAGAAAGAGCTCCACTCTATTGGAAAGGTAAGGTAGTTGGTATTTCCAATTGGCGCCAAAGGGCAAAAAGAAGAAACGAATGGCGAAATGTTGTTAGCTCGCCTATAATCGCTTAAGAGGTGTCTACGCCAGTAGTATTTGGAAAAATATTTTCAAAATCGTTGTTTCACTGTAAAGCTTAACATCCAGCTATCAGCAAAACCAAATACTCCATACAAAGAAATACTCGGGTGTTTTATCTTCTTAGGACAGGATAAAGAAAGTTTATTTATTGCTTTTATTTTATAAATCTCGAATACGGGGCAGGTACAGGTTTTAGGAAGAAATATATGCCTTAATTTTTGCGGCAAAAAAGAGTTGGCGGCTTCAAAATCAACGAAGAGGTGGGGAGTGTCGATCCTCTTTTCACTGGTCTTTTCCAAGATTCTAGTCAATGGTTGATACACCAGACCATATTCTGCAAAGTAGCTGATGCATGCTCCTTGCCAGCTCTTCACCGCCATGTTAGAATAGTTCTGCCGGTAGCCCGTCAGCTCCCGCCACTGTGTTGTTTTTTAAGCGGGCAATCGCTATTCGTACTTCTTTATGGTCAGGGAATGGAACGTCTTATCCATCGTCATCGATTGCGGTTTCGGGTTCACCATCTGTGAATTCTCCATTTTTACTACTATTCAGCAGGATGGAGAAGTGTTCCCTCCATAAATTCAAAACGTATACGGCTGTGACAATGCCAGAAGTGCAGTCAGAATTGGGAAAGACATCTCCGAGACGTTAGGTATCAAGCGACGTTTCATACAGTGACTATCTATCAGGTGATTTCTTTACTTCGATGTTATAGAATAATGAGAGCTGCAGAGCTGAATAGAGAACGTGCAAACTTTTACAAGAGTGTACAACAGCTGACGTACGCCAATGACATTCGTTCTGCTTTCTTCAAACTGGGTAAGGAAGCGAAGGATATGAGTCTGGTAGTGAGCGAGGACAAGAAGAAATATGTCATCAAATAAACAGTTGACAGTCATAACTTTGAAGTCGTAAGTAATTTCGTCAGAGAACGAGAAAGACCTCAACTCCATTGGTAGGTTCAGGTGGAGATTAACTTGGCTTCCCTAGGTATTAACACGTTATAATTGATTCGGCTATAATCGCGTAAGCGGTGCCAACTCCAGTAAAGAAGGAGAAGATTTGTGCCTTTGATTTTGAAAGTGGTATATATAAGTCAAAAATTTAAAAAATCTAGTTTATCAGCTATTCCATATCAAATCCTAATAAAATATTATAATCTGAAGAGATTAGGAGTATGTCATGAAAGTTAACTCAAAAAAGGGTTTTTTATGGTTGGTAAAGAAAATACAGATACTGTGTTTTTTTTAAGTGGTGTAAGTCAGTCTGTTCACAATATTTGGCAAAATAGTTAGTAATTTTGTCGGTTGTTAATAACAATAATGTCAATATCATCGGCGTACGCCAGAAGATTGTGCGGTCTCTTATTTTCTACAGCAATGAATTGAAAAAATTACAGGATAAGGAATCACTTTGCCTGAAACCTCGTTCGGTATCGAACGGCTCGAAGAGGTTAATCCCGATTCTGACGGTGCTTTTAGTGTTGCGGGGATACCGGATTCAGATATAGTGACGTAAAGGCAGCTCATTCACGTACTGTCGAGGGCTGCTGTGGTGCTTCAGCTGCATTATTAAATTAAAAGTTCCTTCAAGATCAAGAAGGACCTCTCCGAGCGGTTCAATACCAAACGATATTTATGGCGGTGTGATTTCTTATCGTGTGACTCTTTAATGTATTGCTGAAGAAAATAATACGAGCTTCAGAGCTAAGTAGAGAAGGCAAACTCTTCTATCAGAGTGTACAGCTGCACGACCATGATCGTGACATTAATGGACTCAATAACCATGCTGCATGTGCTGGCTTCTCCGTACTAGACAAGCGAATGGGTGTGGAACTAAAGGAAGGCGAAACGAAATATCTCATGTCGTCGCAAGACTCACATTCGTGACTCTGCGCCCACGTCACTGTTGAAAATATCAGGTGTAGAAGGACCTGGCTGTGCTTGCTATTTCTATTTTGCGCCAAGCAGCGAAATGATTGAATGAATGGCGTGCTCTTAACGCGGGTATAATCCGGTCCCCTCCAGTAAAGAGACTAAGAGGTTTTAGTAGTATTATATATATGCATATGTATATGCGTAAATATTTGAACTGCAGATATAAATTACGGAACTTATATCTGCCAAAGTCATCTTCCATAATCTCTTTTGACCGTGCCACTAATGCTGCCTTTTTTTATAGGTTGCCCGATATATATCTGCTCATATGCATTTAATTTTATTATTGTCTTATTTTTACAACGAATAACAGTTTTTAAAGAGTTATAGATTGTGAAAAATCAGTACCCATAAGTATGGAACCATATATTAAAATGTTTATTATTTATGTTATGAAAAATGATTCACTGTCCACACATTTAAATACAAAGTATCTCGTTTATATGTTTCTGTTAGTCTTTAGAAGATTTGATTTTACTACCGTTTATAACTGAGTTCCAATTCAATGTTTTTTTATTTTAAACTCAGCGCGGTATTCAAATATTCTTCTATTTAATAATGAGAATTTCTGACACATCTTTTCAACAAAAATACTTCCATAAATTCCGTTGATTCTTGCTGCTTTACTGTCTATAGCAAGTTCAGAAATGATCCAAATTAATAAATGCGCACCAGTTTAAAAGTTTTGTAAATATCAGGCCTAAATTAATTAAAGTTCGATAGTTCTAAAAGACCATATTATTGTACATTATTAACAAAAATTACTCATATTTTTGAGCGTTCAGTTAATAATCATGCTTAATATATTTTATTAATTATATACGCCATTTGTCATCTTCAGTTTTGATTTCTGATTAGTCACATTTGTAAGATATAAAAAATATATGTATGTATGCTGTACAATTTAGAGCAATGCAATAGACATCGATTACGTATGTATCTTTCAAAAAACAAAAAGTCAAGGAAAAGCGAAAAACTAGTGATACTCTTGCTCTCTACAGATTTATTTTTGAACGTAAAGTTGTGTACTCAACAAATTTTTTCAGTACTGCAAAGGTCACACCACGAAGTATTTAATGTTTGGCTTTTTCCTGTTTAGCAATCTGTATTCTGTATAATTGTGAACATTGAAGTATAAATAAAGTGAAACTTCATTTCAAAAGAGGAAGAGTATTGTAACCAAAACGTAATAGTGTACTGAATTATTATAAAATGTAACACACAAGGGCGAAATCTTGCGAATAAGAATAATCGATGGAAGAAAACTTATATTTCATATTAATCTTATGATGATTTTAACTATTTATATTTAGACCACGAAAAGTCTATTATAATTATGAAGGAATTTTACAAATTATTATCAGTGAAGATAATGCAATGAAAACTTCTTTAGGAAATTGCGGGGACGTATTATATATGGTTTTTTAATGGTGGTTTAATCAGGCACGAAAATGTTTAATTTGTTGTGGTTACGACGTGAAAGTATGAATATTAGAGCGCATAAAATATATATTTTATTTTTATCAAGCTTTTATTGTTGAATAGGTGTTAGCCGGATCAAAGTGAGAATTAAAAGACCAAAGACCATTAATTGACATACTACAAATTTGGCTAAGCCTGTGTTCTGAACAGATTTGAACCATTCATAAAACTTAATAGCGATTTAATTTTAGATGTTAATCTGTACAAAATGTCCGACCTATTGTATTGCATGTACGTGTCCTTAATTTACAGTTTTGAATGAAACGAATTATCTTTCCATTCAATTGACAGCCAGTCTACAAAATGGCATCCACGATAAATTCAAAATTTGTAGTGTACGTGTATGTTTTGATGTTTTCCTAACAAATGGAAAGACCTACAACTTACTCTAATAGAGGAGTTCAGAAATACACTCGCAGGGTCTGACATTCCCTGCCGAGAGGCGACCGCAATTTAGAACCTTAGTTTTCTTTAATTCTACGAGTATTTTTTGGCCAATTTTAAAAATTGCTCTTTGGATATAAAAACACAATTTTTAATCCTACGAACATATAACGAAAAAAATTAGAGCAGTATTTCTTAAGATAATTTTCAAAACACAAAATGTTTAATATTTTTTGTTAAGAGTAAATCTCTAGGTATGTAACATTAACCCTTTGTTTAGGACTCGGTTTTGTCATAAAAAAATAATTAGAGGTGTTTTCGATTTTTTTTTTTATATTTTTTAAGAAAATTACAAAAATAAGGAGTGTTGTTCACGTGCAACACGAAATTAAGATGTCTCAAGTAAGTACTATAACAGAGGAAAGTTTTTAAAGCAATTATTATTTTTTATGTAGCATAATGCCACCACGCATTTTGCACAGTGGGCCCAAAACATTTCGAAAACTTGTAGCCAGTGCTTAATATGGTCTTGACGAACTGCTTTAGGAGGTACATGCTGAGAAGATCCTTTGTGCTTTTTTGCTTGAATCTCGTTCTCAAACGACTCAAGCGACACACTAGATATTCAAGGTTTGATTGAAGAGTAAGGTTTGCATGTGATGGGATGGTCTTTAATAGTATTCTTCTAGAGTCCATCTACATCAATGTCAATTTCTGAAGCCTCTTTTTCAGGGTTATCATCGTCAAAATCTTATCCATCCTCACTTTCTGCATCATCTATTAGTGCAGAAACTATGTGCTCGTCACGAAGAGAACGTTTGAGAGACATTCTGCTACTCCCTTTTTGCTACTTGCCACTTGCTAGTGGTCCGCTTGGACAATAAGTAATGAAAAGAAGGGCTTACGATAAATGTCTGAATCCGTATTAGTTAGAATAGCCATGCTAGTTACGCGTCTACGACAGGGTTGTTTTGTCTAATACAGCTGAAAGTCTTTCCAGTCACAAATGCAAGTTAATTTAAAAGATTTTTAACGCAAAAGCTATTACAGAGAATACTTTCTCTTTGTTGTTGCTGTTGTTATTGTAGAGGTTCGGTAACACCGCTTAGGTGGCTGTTTTGACGGGTTTGGACCAAAGGGAGAGAGAGTGCTTTGAGTATTTTATTGCGGCTCTGAGGATTTTAGGAACTGGCGATCATATGCGAAGTGAAGGAATGCAGACTGTCTAGTGTCACTGCCAATATCTTTGGGTTGCTCATAGTCGGAATTTCTACATTGTCGACCTTCACATCTAGTTCCAGCCTATATTCCTTTGTCCAGCTGGTGAAGTGAGTAGCCGAGAATTTGGTCGGCTCTATTTTCAATTGTCGTGCACTAAAGAAGTGGCCAGACGTCATTATCGTGCAATTATCGGCATACGAAGTTAGGGAAACTCCCTATTTTGGGGGAAGGAGTTTTGTAATGTAAAAATTAAACAGTAGCGGGGAGAGGACACCACCCTGCGGAACCCTCTGTTTAATTTTTCTGGGTTTCGATGTTACACCTCGGAATATTACCGATGATTGTCGACCACTCAGGTAGCCCATGACACCCCTCTGCAACCCCGGCGGTAATGAGGATTCCTAAATGTCCATTAGTAGCACTGAATGGTCGACTGGGTCAAAAGGTTTTGACAAATCCAGTATTACTAGGACAGTTCGCGCGAAGGGTCGGTTTTGGTTAAGGCAATTGACTACCCGCTGGTCCGGGGTTTTTAGCATCAGCATACTTATTACTTCTACTTTTTCCGCTTATGGTTGTTAACTATTCTGCGAAACTCCGAGCTTAAACCCCTGATTAGGGGATTCCTGGGATCGGAGTTTCAAGGGTGTCTCGCCTTGATGCTAATACCGCCGCTTCCGTCGGAAAATTCTGGTGAATTTCCGCAATTGGTCCTCCCAGAATGAAGCGGTCGCCAGCTTTCATGACTACCTTTCTGAATAAACGTTCACCAGTAGTGACGTCTGATGAAGTAGGGAGAGTACTAAAGGCGTTCTCGGTAAATTCCGGGAAGCAGGACCAGTTTGCTTTTTTAGAGTCTGGTGGTCCGCGACAACAAAGTCAGGAGGACTGTCAATCAAGATTTGTAAGGGTAAGTGGTCCGATGCTAGTGTCAGTATAGGTCGCAAGACTATGCTGTTTATCAGACCAGCACTCGGGTGTGTTATATCCGGCGAACTTTGGCAATTACCCATAACTCTAATGGGGGTGTTATCGTTCATTGTGCAGAATGTGGAATCATCTATCTAGAATTCCAAATGAATACCAAACGGTTTTCGCCCCTTAGTAGCGCACCTATACCAGGGCTTTATCTAACTGGGCAACCTGTAACAGGAAAGTTGAGCTCGACATCGCCTTACCGATAAGACGATATTGCAAGATGCTGAAGGCACTAGCGCGGAGGCTGGGGGGCGCTTGGGCGCGGGCAGCATGGGCAAACATAACCTGTGGTCCTCTCAATTCGGGTCTTAAGGCCTAAGCAGGTCTTAAGGTCACTCCAACCATAGCACGGGCTGCACCCAACCAAGGTGGAGGAGTGGTGGAGCCTTTTCTGGCCCACGCAGCAGAAGTATTCCTTCCGACCAGGGTTGTTTTCTACGCCCGCCCCGTTAAAAAGGATTTGGAGCAACCCAGTTGCGGGGTGTTGCTGCGTTTGTGAACTTAAGTAACTGTTACCTGTTGACCTAAACGGGGTTAGGTCGCCGAAAGGGTGACAGCACTTGACCGGATAAGATCCGGGTCAACTCCGGTACGTAGAACCGGCTGTCTTGAGAATTAATAATTTCTATTTCACCACATGTGGTGAAAAGCTTTTATAACAGCCGATATGAAAAAAGTTTCAAATCCAAAAAAAGAAAATTTACAAGAGGAGATATTTTTTTAAATTTTATTAAACACAACATTAAATTTGTGATTATTATTTATTTTATGGCAAAACAAGGCAGAGCGCGCTTCAGCGGAGTGGGTAAATGCATTAAAAGAATTTTATATTATTTAAACGAATACATATAAGATTTTTTATTTGTATTAAGCAACAATGAAAATGTGCATGTTTTAGTCGGTGCCGCTTGAATTATAATCATGTAGCTGAGTACACGACCACGGGAAGTCCTTATTTGAATAATGAAGATCTACTTTAGCAAGACTCCCGATTAGGATCTTCTTGTCACCTCGCATTTAGTTACCTTTCTTTTACTCTGTGAGAGGCAAATTATATTGTGCAAATAAAATTATCTTTTCTTCATTTTGATTTTATTTTTTGTATTTACGCTTTTTTTTATTTTTACAGCAATTATATTTATTTTAAATGTAAAAAATTCGACACTAATGCAATGAACACCTGCTCATCATAAGCTCCTTCAATTGGTATTTTGAAAGTCTCAAAAAAGCTTTCAAGATCCCAAATAAAAACTCTCTTATGAGAGATTTTTGTACTCCGAAAAGCTGTGAGGAGTTGAAAGGTAGTGCCCAGTGTCTTGTAATATATGGATGTGGGAAATATAAATATAAGGTAGTTTAAAGGCGATGAAGGATAATCGTGTCACAATAATACCAGCTACATAGAACTGTGCGGGGTTTCCGTATTTAATTTCACTATTATTATTAATGTATTTGATCACAACTTATACAAAAAAAAATCAAATCGTAAAATGTTATATTTTTTATTTTCGTTTCAAGAGTTCCATATATAATACAATATTTATATGTATAGGAATAATGAGAAGAGCTATTTTTTTTTTTTTTTTTGCAGACCATCAACAAACGGGGCTCTCAGGAGTATAAATGTCTTCAACTATATGCATAGGTAAATACATACTACAAAAGTATTATTTGCCATAATTATTTAACGATGAACATCTTGCAAATTATTATTGTCAGATTGATTATGATATTGAGTTTGACGTTAGAGTTATCTCACCTGCTACTGTGGCTGCTTTCTGTTCTGTCGCAAAGGACTTTCCTTCCGACAATTTTAGTAGCGTCAACTGCTGATAAAGCCTGATAACTAATTTGTTAAGCTCTATGGAAATTACTGCCCTCCCGATTTTTCTAATATTGTCTCTTCAGTGTTGATGTTTTGGCTATGTATGTATACAAATACATACATACACAAAATACATTGGATCAAGAAATACTTACAGGCCTATTCTGTGCACTTGATAAATTCACCATCTTGCTTGTTTATAAAGATTGGCAACTTCTCAAAATTTTTCTATTTTGTGTCAAAAATAATAAAGCCTTTTCTTTATAAATTGTCAAGAATGCTCTTGGAAAAGTTTTTTTTTAAGGAAGTAACTAAATGTTAGAAAGGAAGATACTTATTTTACACATATTGTTAAGAAATAACACATTTTCACAAAATTTTCTTTTAACTTGCGAAATTGGCCGTCAGATGAGTTCTGGTGGCTTTAAATTTCTTTGGGTATGGCAACAACTTTGTCTTGCGCATAAGTCAGTCGTTTATTTCCAGAAGTTTACTGGCTGTTAAGAAGAAAGAAAGAAAAATAAGATTGCCCAGTTCGGTTGAGGAAAATATAAAAAACATACCCTGTTTTACAAATGCAAATAAAAAAACAAATTTACACAAGTCCATTATGTAAATTGTTTATATTAGAATTATATCGGGAAACATTCATGGTATCTCTAATTTTTCTATATATACAAATTACTGTTTGTTTGCGTGATCAAGAAAACACGAAAATAGTAAAATTATTAATTCAACAGAGTTACAAAATTTAAAAATTGGGTAAAAAGTGGTGTCAATTTTTAATTATAAATAAAATGTGTATCAAACTGAAGCAGAGAAGGAAATGCACAATGAGAAAATATCTTCCAGTTGCGTTGCAACAAAATTAAAAAAATTGTATTCAAAGTAATTGATAAGCTAAATTTCCTTTACTAAATGGGTACATAAATAAAGATGTTTAAATGTCTTAATGATAAAAAAAATGTAAGTTACGAGAAGGGAAGGACTGCAAATAGGAATATAAGACCGGAAAAATGAAGACGATAAAATTTAGAATGGCCCTAATACCGCGAGGAAATGTATTTTCAACACTGTACTGCTTTCATCCATTTGGACAACATGACCAAGCCAGCTTAGCCGCGGTCTCTCCATTCGCTGTCATTCAATGTCATCTTATAACTCGTACAGCTCTTCGTTCCATCGTATGTTGTACTCGCCGTTGCCAATGGGCAAAGAACCATAAATCGGCCACGCTTCTACACAATATAGTAGGACGGGTATGATCAGCAACTTGTAAAGTTTGGTTTTTGTTCGTCGAGAGAGAGAGAGAGGTGGGAAACAAGTCGCGAAAGCGATGACTGTTTTTTTGTATTTAGTCTTGTCCACGTTCACTACCAGACCCATATTCTTCGTTTGTTTTTCAAGACTGAATAAAGTAGAGCTAACAGCGGGAGTATCGAGCAAATGGTATCAATATCATCGGCATACGCCAGTAGTTGTATGCTCTTGTAAAATATTGTCCTTAGTCTGCTTAAAAGAAAATAAATAGTAACCTTGTCTGAATCTTAGTTTGGTAACGAATAGCTCGGAGAGGTCCTTTCCATTTACTGCACTAACTGCTTTCTGTATAAGTTTTACGAAGATACTAAATTGAGCCGCAGCGGCGTAGAGACAGCTTCTTACTGTGCTGTCGAAGGCAAAATTTAAGTTGCGGCTGCAACTCTTCGGCGAAAATGTGCAGTCCACAAGTAAATGGTCTATCCAAGTGTGTTTGATACATCGTTGAGCTTAGCAATATCTTTAATTGGCGCTTTGTACGCGCTGCAGCGTTTTTTGGCCGAGCTTCTCCTCCAAATTGTGGTTTTGTGTCTTAATGTTTTTGTAACGAATGGAGGAACCTATAGTTTATACTTACCCGCCTCCGAACGGCTGATGGTTTTTTTATGAGGAGCTTTATTTCATGTCAGAAATAAACTCGGAGGGGTTGACATTCCCCGCCAGGGGGCGACCGCAATTCGAAAATTTAGCTAATTTTTTTATTTAAATTAATTTTCTATAACATTTGGATGTTGGTAGAACGAGGATTTGAACCCGAGCCTTTCGAACGACAGTACGCAAAGCTAACCACTCGGCTACCGCGGTCGCGATATTAAAGAAAATATTATAATATTTGCAGATAATAATTCAAGAGCGTCGAAACTGAAAAATGGAACTTATAGCTGATATGTTGATAAGGCTTAAATATATAAATATCTCTATGTTGTTAGTGGAACTGAGTGATATCGATACGATCATTGAGCAATATACGAGTCTATATGTTGTGTAATACAGGTTTTTACAAAACAACGCCAAGGGTTGTATCAGATGCTAGGACCAGTCAATTGATCCTAGGAAATATTTTTGCTCCTTTGAGCTTTGGATACTCGCTGGTGAAGGGCTAGCGTAGTGCCTTATCTTTTCTTTCTAATTTTTGCACTTTCTTTTTTTTTGTAATTTCTTTTCAGTCGTCTGCTAATACGTGTCGAATTAATTTATACATTCCGATTTATTTAGCTGCATGTCGCATCTATACATTTATGTACAAACTCATAATGTTATTTAAATTTACCTCGAACTGCTGTCACAGGAAGTACATAGAAAGAAATATCGTCGTTTCCCGCTGGTTCTAGGTATTTTAGCATCAGCTTTCGCCTTTCCCATGACCCCCTTAACCTAGTAGTGTAAAAATTCGGCTTGAATAGCTCGCGCTTCTCTTCGGGTCAGACGAGGCGCGGACACCGAATGCAATTTCCACTCGGTAATCACGTCTCTTGGGTGTTGCCAATGACTTGATTGTAGCCCAGAGCTTGTTTGCCCAAAAGGAGAGATTGCAGGATCTTAAGTGCCCTTTCCACTTTTCCCGATTATGGTTGTCTACTTTTCGCCGAATCTCCCATTGAGATCCCGGATGAGAAGATAACCGGGAGAAGAGTTGTGGAAGGAATTGCGCATTGATGCTAGAACCGCCACTAACGGCCTACCGTGATGAATAAGCATTCACCGGCTATTGACGTGTGATGGAGCGGAGAAAACAGTGAAGTCGTTTTCCCGGGTCAGTAAGCTTTTTTGGAGTTAACCAATTTCTTATAGTCCCCGGTAACCAAGTCGGAAGGCCGATGGTCCATTGCTGATGTTAGTATAGGTCGCCAGGCTGTACTGTTTATCAGTCCAGCACACGCCATTTTTATGTCTGGCGAGTTATGGCAATTATTCACAACTCTGGTAAGGAAGTTATCGTGCATGGTGGCGAATCGTCCGTGATAATATCTCTACGGTCATTTGACAGGCTAGAATACCAAATATCATGATGCACGTTAAAGTCACTCAAAACCAAACGGTTTTCACCTCTGAGTAGCGTACCTAAATCAGAGCTATATCTAACTGGTCAACTTGTAACAGGAGTAATGCATATATTAAATATTACGAACTCGGCATCACATGATCGGATAACTATGCCCTGACATTCTGATATAAGTTTATTAGGGTGTAGTGTGTTGTTGCTGTAATACCTGCTGGACAGGAAGCCGCACGATGATGTTGGTTGGCGGCTATGTTGTAGATAAAATCGGGGGCAGACTACCACAACAAGGGGCAACGTACGCATCACTCACAATAACTCCGTTTAGGTCAACAGCTAACAGAAGGAGTGCGCAACCCTATTGTTGCAACTACGCATTTTTTATATGTACATATCTCCCAGACATACCTCCCAACAGGAAGAGCGATATGCCTAAATGAGTTTTCTACGCTGCTAACAGCGACGAAACGTTGACAGCTGCCAGTGTGCTTGAATACTTTTAAAGAAATTTGGAATCTTTGTGAACGAATTTCATAATTTATATAATCAAATTTAAACGCCAAATAAATATACAAATATGGCAATAAATCAATAATATCAGAAGTGCGATGGACGGTGTTGTATTTGTGTTGGGAGAGAAATTTCGTTATCCCGTACTAACAATAACTCCGATGGAGTTTTCAACTTTTACCTTATTTGTAGGTTCCGGCGAAAGAGCGCCTAGAATGCGCCTATGTGCGCTTCCGTCGCCACGATGTGAAAAGGTAGTTTTGGCACAACAATCGAGAAATTCAAACTCCATGACGAAGTATCCCCAAACGACCTGAGGATTATAGACTTCGACGGGGTTCAAAATACATGCATTAAGCTATGTGGCTGTCGGCGGATCGAATGCCGGGCAATCATAGTTTCGGATCACTATTTTGTCGTAGCGAAGATACGCACCCGTGCCGGTGTATCAAACGCCCGTCAAAAAACACAAGGAATTTTTGGTGTCCATAAGCTGCAAACATACAACCAACGAGATTTCTACTCGACTTACACATCTGCTCTCTGAGAGCACCTATCATCAATGGGAATGTCACATTAAACTCCCTAGAAACATGCTCAGGAAGGAATAGGAATCTAAAGGCAACTGTCAACATACTGATTAGACCTTATTAGACTTCAGTCCTAGTAAATTGATATTCACCATGCGACAAATCTTGGAAAAAAACAGTGAGTAAAGAACCAATGCACATCATCTTTTCATTGTTGTTACCTGTTAACCTAAACGGGGTTAGGTCCCCAAAAGGGTGGCAGCCCTTGGCTGGATAAAATACAGGTGAACTCCGGTGCGTTAAAAAAAGGCAAAAAAAAAACATATTGGGTGAGTTCCAAAACGTTAATTGCAAAGCAACTATAGATTGTCCGACATCGGAGATTGCTAAACGGCATCATTACAAAGTATTTTAACGCTTTAAAAATCACCTTTTCTACTCTTGTGTCTTCGAATCAACACAGTTGGCTTCCCAAAAGACTAGAATGCCAGCTGAAAATCGCAGCTTTACACAATTTTATATTTTATGTTTATTTCATGTAATTTACAATAAAAATTAATTTAAAAAAAAAACTTCAAAATTGAACTATACCTCACAGCGAAATTAATGCACGAAGATATACCGTTAGTGGCGGCGTCTTGTTGACGATTTTTGAATGCAAAATAAATACCGATACAATCGCCAACAAACATTGACATTCGTTGAGTGCAAATCAAAATGGGTCACAAAACAATTATTGAGGTGCGCGAATTAACCCTAAAACAATATAATATTGTTGGTAAAAGTCAGCGCGAAATCGCGGAATTGGTGAATTTGAGCCAAGGAACTGTTCAGCATATCATTGAACAAAATGTTCGTTCTGCTCTTTTGGACAACGAGTACACGAAAGCTTGTGTTAAATAAAACTAAAACGGCTCATAATAAAATATTTAACGAAAGTGATTCAAAATGGATTGTACAGAAAACACGCGAAAACCTCCACTTAAGTACTCCAGCTTTAGGTAAAGAAGTGCTAAAATATCTTGGAAAAAGCTGTCACCCAGAAACCATACGAAGAATCCTCCTAAACCATATGTCAGTGCTAAAATTCAAAGTGCAAGGCTGAAGTTTGCAAAGAAGCCTTTATATTAAGATGAAAGTTTCTGGGACACCGTAATTTTTGCAGACGAAAATAAATTCAACCTGCTTAGATCAGATGGACAACATGGTGGAGGACATGTAATGGTATAGGGATTCATGTCGTCTTCTGGAGTTGGAAACTTGGATTTCATCAATAGTACTATGGATAATATTGTGTTTTTGATATTTTAAAAAGAAATTTGTTGCAAAGTGTCTCAAAATTAACTACTCATGACAAGTTTCGGTACTATAAAGATAATCCGAAACACAAAACCGGTGTTGTGAAAAGTTGCCTTATTTTGGACTGTCCGCACAAAGTACGGATGTGGATGTGATTATGAATCTGTTGTCAGTTTGGGAACGAGAGATTTGAAAGCCCTACAATCAGAACGGAACAATATTGCTAATGACTGCGCGAAGAAGTTAGTGGAATCCATGCCCAAACGTATGAAAGCAGTCATAGAAAGCAAGTTGTGGACTGAGCTTTGGTTTACAGCCCCACCAAGCAAACAACCATGAATTTCGACATGAAACTTCGTATGGATGATGATAGAAATATATTTTTCCAATATTTTAACTTTTTGATTTTAAATATATTATAGTTTATTAATTATTTGTTGTTTATAACAAAATTGTTAACTTTATCCCATCATTTCTTTATGAAATGTTCATTATTCTTTTATTTTCGTTTATCAAACACAAATGTTACTTTGACTTTATTAAATATTTTCAATTATTTTATATAAATTAACGCGCAATGTAACTTAGATAAACAAAAAATTTTATTGTAATCAAAACAAATGTTCTCTTAAACATGTAACAATTACAAGAGTTTAAAATAGAATTATTAATAAACTATAAGTCAGCTAAAGAAAATAAAATTAGTTTTAGAATCTAGGCATTTTCCTCTTTCCATCCAAAAAATTTATTTTCGAAAGCCTGTGGCTGTAAACTATAATTTTCCCTGTATATATCCGCTGCTATTAACTGGCATTTATTATTTTTTTTTTTTTGGAAAACTAATTTAATTTTTAAACAAAACTTATACTATTTCTTACATAGCTGCTTTACTTCGGCTACAATCCACTGTACGTATGTTAGATTCTATGAAGATGCATGGCAAACGAGTGGTGATGATTTCCAGATTTAAATTATTATTTTTGAAATAACTCATTCGGGGGAACCGTGTTTTAAAATCTATTAAAACCTTAACGTTTATCGTAGTTAGAAGATATAGTTTAGCTTCGAAGCACAGTTATGTGGTTCTAGACTATAATCAAGACAATTTATCGGAAGTAATTTACATGCAAATTAAATTATAAATGTCTGTGTTATTCTCTGCTTAGAGAGGTAATACAGATTACGAACGTGAATTAGTTAATTTTCACGGCACTCAATTTTACAGCCTTCTGTTTCGCTGGTTTACTTATTGTACTTTGTAGCATTTGAGCACTCATGGAAAAATAAAACTTTTAATAGGAGTTAATAAAATGTTCAGTTGAATTGATGATGTAAGTGAGGATATGTAGAGTCCGGCAAAAAAAATTTCATTAGAGGAACACATTTAATCAAAAGTATTACCATCGTGCTCTACTTATAATTACCAACTTGCTTCTTTAATGATTCCAACTTTTTCGTTTTTAATTTACAAATAATATCTTGTTTCAAATAAATGTTTGTGTTTTACTGTTTTCTTATATGAGTTTCATCTTTTTTGGTTTAGTTTGCAGCTGCATTTGATAAATTTCCGTTAAAAAATTACGGAAGACACTGGTTTGGTCGTTATTCGCATGGTATTTTGCTTGTATGGCGATTCGGTTATGGTTATTCGACATGTATTTGGTGCTTGATATAGGATTGAGAGAACGAACAAACTAGTTGGCCTTCCGTGAATATGCCGTCTGTTCATATTTCAAGAAATTTTTCTGAGTTTTTCATGCTCTCTGTTACAAAGCTTTTTCCGAAACCGCAAGATATGTTAAGCCTTTTTATTATAGAAAGATGTTAATTTTATTTCAGATGAAAACATCTTTACTATATATAGGCGGATTCGCTATTGTGTGTTATGATTTGTAATATGAAGTTGATTATATAATATATACTTTTATTTCTTGTTTTAAACTAAGTGCACTAAAACGAACACATAATAAAAGAACAAATGATCATTTCATAACAAGTAAATATGTATTTAATTGAGAAAAAGTAAGTACAAGTTTTAAATACATATACATACATAAGTTCGGTAAGTTGACCAGAAAAAGAAATAATATCTCCTTTTGCATTTAGTCATAATCTTTGTCCTTTGTTATCTTCTCTACATAATCGTCATTGCATTTCTTAAGCCTCTAGGTCCACTTTGGAGCACAGTCTTCAAAGTCTTTCTTTTAAAACATATTAATTTCAGCGTTAACCGCATCAATTTTTTCCTCGTTGCTATCCAGTAGCGCCGTAAAACCTCTTTCTTCTTGTTTTGCAACACATTTTTATAAACTTTTGATAAGCACTCTTCGCTGTGCTATTTTTTTTTTCAATTACAGTCTGACCTTTTTTAGTGGAATGGCAGCTACTATTTGAGCTGTTGATTTTTGTTGCTTAGATTTTACGGGTGGATTTGCTATAGTTTGAGCTCCATACCATGGTCTGCTGCTTGGTTTCTGAATCGTACTTATACTGTATGCAATGCTAATGTTTGTGAATTCATTTTCTTTTCTTCTCTTTTTATTTTATATTAAATCTTTTTCTGTTTTCTCTTTTCTTCTCTTTTGTTTTCTTTTATTTCCTTTCCTTTCATTTTCTTTTCATATATTTTCTTTTCATTTTTCTCTGTTTCTTTCCCTTTCTTGTATGTTATTTTCTTTTCTTCTCTTTTTTTTCTTTTCTTTTCATTTCTTTTCTTTTCTTTTCTTTTCTTTTCTTTTCTTTTCTTTTCTTTTCTTTTCTTTTCTTTTCTTTTCTTTTCTTTTCTTTTCTTTTCTTTTCTTTTCTTTTCTTTTCTTTTCTTTTCTTTTCTTTCCTCTTCTTTTTCATGGACTCTGGTCTGATGCTGATCAAATATTTAAAAAAGCTTTTCAAATAAATTTTCCCCTTAAAAGAATATATAATTTCACACGAAAGTTAATAGAAGATAGGATACTAACTTTATTAATAACATTTTAAACTAAGGTAAACAAACATAACATACAAAGTTCACTATTATTTTTGCGACAGCCGATTAGCACAGTCACTTGAAAACTTAAAATAACAAAAGAAAATGGATTTAAACTTCATTCAAATTGTTTTTTAACATTAATTTAAATATATTTAACTTTTTTTGAACACAAATTAACAATGTGTGGAGCTTCCACGGTAAAGTATGACTTCGTACATCCGCTGAGGTAAGGAGTCATATAATTTTTTTATATAATTGAGTGAAACAGCCTTCCAGAACCTTTTTGTTCCTTCAATGAGTTCTGCTTCAGTTGAATACTGTCTGCCGGACTCGTACACTTTTCGTGCCAGCCATCCCCAAACACTTTCTATAATGTTCAGGTCGGGAGAGTATGGCAGCCAAGTCAGTAATTCCACCATTTGACCATCAATCCAGGACTTTACAATCCTGGCTGTATGAATAGGTGCGTTGTCCTGCTGGAACTTCCATTTCAAGGGTCCAAAAATATCCTTGATTGCAGGGAAAGCCGTATTCAGTACACCTTTGTACGCAATGGCATTCATACGGCTGGTAAGAAACTGCAGTTCTATAGTGCCAAAGTATGTTAAAGCTCCCCACACCATGACACCACCCGCACGGCTGTGCAATCGATCTAAAGTATGTTCTTCCTTTTTGAGATCATGAAAGTAGTAGGCATATGTTCAGCATTTGAAATAACTCTTTGCACAGTCCGAACTCGTCCAACGGTTTTTCTTTGCCTATGATTACTTTATTTTATTGATAATTGGTCCCAATAAATAAATCATAAACTTAAACACCCAATCAAGTGTAGCGAAAATGTACTAAAAAACAATTCAATTACAATGCACTTTACAAGCTACAATCACTTGCATAAACTTTCACAATTTACTTTAGGCTGCTCGTAGCTTTAAGTTGGACTCCCAACGGCTTGAATTCGCCACACTACGTCGTTTAGTCGTTTGATTATCATGTATGGATCTTCCAAGTTACATTGAAGTTTTGGGGACAAACCCCTCTTCCGTTGTGAATTGTACACATGATTGTCCACTACTTTCCGCACAAATACCAAGTATATGGCATCCGCAACTGTTTTTTTTTTTCTTTGTTTGGGATTGGGTAAACTTCAGGCCATTTACTGAAATAGTCCATAACCATGAGAAAGTGGTGCCTCTGCGCTGCTATACACTCCGTGCAATTAGCAATTCACTCCGCGACCGATTGCAGACAGCCAACCCAATAAAACCGCTGCTTGATCTTTTCCAGCATTTTTGTAATGCCTAAGTGCCCTCCACTAGAACCGTTATGGAATTCCTTAAGAACATCCGGAATTCTTAACTTCGGAACTACTATTAGCTTCCAGGAGCACTGGCCATCTTCATTTTCCCACACTCTATGCAAACAACCGGATATCAGCTCTCAACTGTTCCATTGTGCTCAGTATGCCTTCGCGATAGGACTTTCCACAGCCATTTGTTCCTTACTTGCTCGTCTGGTTACCTCCAACCCGTGCATTACTAATTCAAAATCTGGATCTTCTTGCTTGCCTCCCACTCTTCTTCTTGCGTAACTTTCATTAGCCGGACATCTATTTTGTCTTCTGTGCGTATTCCCCTTGCGGTGCTCGATTGTGAAGTCATAACTTTGCAGCCTCTCAATCAACCGTGCTAGCTGCCCTTCGGGATTCTTCAACTGTAGTAGCCACTTCAGCACTGCATGATCCGTTCTAACTCGGAAATGTTGACCATACAGATATTTGAGGAAGTGTTTGACGCAATCCACCAAGGCTAATAGTTCTATTCGTGTCACGCAGTAGTTTCGCTCTGGTTTACTAATAGACCGGTTATAATAAGCAACTATCTTCTCCTGCCCATCAATCTCTTGCGAGAGTACACCTCCTGCCATACCCACTAGCATCTGTGTCCAGAATAAATGTTGCACCTGGAACCGGGTACCCAAGCATAGGCGCAGTGCACAGCCGTTTTATTAAACCTTGTAAGCTCATGGAGACTATGAGCGTCGCTGGCGAAATTCGGGATAAATCGGCGATTATAAGTACACACCCCAAGAAAGCTTCTCAATTCATGCAAATTCCTGGGTCTCGCCCAATCCTTCACTGCTTCTATTTTTTCCTTCGCAGTACAAACGCCCTTCGTGGTTACTTGATGACCTAAGTAATTCACCTCCTTCTTGAATAAAGAGCACTTCTTAGGACTTAGTTTAAGACCTTCGCCAGCTTTTCCCCAATACGATCATATCGTCCAGATACACCAAACAAGTCTTCCAGTGTATCCTTTGAGCACATGGCTCATTAGTCTTTCACACGTGGCAGGAGCGTTGCATAACCCAAATGGCGTTACCGTAAATTGCCATAGACCGTTGCCAACACCAAAGGCTGTCTTTTCCTTATCTTCTTCACTCATTTCCACTTGCCAATACCCGCTCTTAAGGTCGAGTGTTGAGAACCATTCTGTGCCAGTTAATGAGTCTAGTGTATCATCGATCCTGGGCAAAGGATAGCTGTCCTTCTTTGTGACATCGTTTAATCTTCGATAGTCCACGCAGAACCGCAACTGGCCATCTTTCTTCTTCACGAGTACTACCAGAGAGCTCCAAGGACTTACAGATGGCTCGGTAACACCGCTTTCGACCATTTCCTTAATTATTTGGCCAAGAGCGTCACGTTTAGCTAGTGGAACGCTTCCAGGAGCTAGACGAATTGGTCTTGCGCCACCCGTATCAATGCTCGCAATGTTTTACTACGTTGGTTCTGCCTGGTTTGTTGCCATCCTTGTCAAATATGTTGGAGTATTTGCGGATAAGTTGGCTAGCATTTGGCTTGTACCTGTCTTCTAACCCTTGCGTTCAAACATTTATTTCTTCATTCATGTTATTCCTACTTATGGAGTCGTTTTCCGATGAGTCGTTGATGATGGCTTTCACTTCTTGACATTTCTCTAATATAGTCCCTCCAGGAATTTTTACTGGTTATCCGAAGTCATTTAATACTCTCACTGGGATGCGTTCATTCTTTTCCGTCTTAGCCAGGGTTTTATCAATAAGTATGTCCGGTGTAGAATCTGGTGTTGCTTCGACAACCCACAATTTGCTTGTCCCACAATCTCCATTAATTTTTGCCCACACAACTGCTTCTGACTTTGGTGGAATCAGCTCGCTGCCTTCTAAGATCACTTGCTTGCTGCTGTGAGTGGAATTATAGCCAATGCTTAGTGGTACTTCCATGTTCTTATATTCCATCTTGATCCATCAGGAAGTCCACTCCTATGATTACCTCATCTACATTCTGCGCGACGATAAAGCTGTGTAGCACCGTCACATTACCTACTGCGACCTCGCACGTTACTTCCCCCACCACTTGGCCGTTTTCAATATTGCTCCAGGTAATAGCCTCACTCCTTTAGCGATCAGATCAGTTCGAATAATGGAGTGTGATATGCCCGTATCCACTGTTAGTATTCGCTCTCGTCCATCGATATATCCACCAATAGTAATGTTGCTCGGTTTTCTGCCAATTTGTGATATGGAAATTATGGGGCATTCAAATGCAGGAGCCAGCTTACGCCCTAATAGGCTAGCTCGTTTTAATTCAACGATTGAGAAGTTGATGGTTCATCTTCCTCTGCCTTCCGTTTTCGCTGTACCTCCTGTCTGCTGAAACTTGTTTTGCATTCGCGTGCGTAGTGACCAGGCTTTCCACATTTAAAGCATTTTCCCGCTTGAGTCTTGAAACCAGAACGACTCATCCCTTCTAGCGATTTCAGAGTTCTCAATATATCCGTCATCGCATCTGGTGTTGCAACCTCCACTTTATTTACTTTGTAAGATGGTCTGCTTATGAGTGCCGCCGTTTCACGTGTTTGCGCATACGCAACAGTTTCAGCGAATGTCAACTTTGGATTCGCGTATGAGATTCGTTGGGTTTTTGGTCGCGTTTTTCTAACTCCATCTGGTAGATCTGTCTTCTGTGTTCGCTACCATAGCGTCTTTCCAGGGCTTGCATCAATCCGTC